TCCTATCAAACATCTATCGTCCTTATCTCCCCTCCTTCTTTTTTGTGTTTGTTACTCTCTTGTAACACCTCTAATCTTCTGGCGCTCATATGACCTTATTGTGTTGCAAGTGCCATAAAACTCTTACTAAAGCTAAACCAAAAAAACCCCTGACTATCATCTACGGGTGGTTGGCGGGTGCTCTGGTGTGTGTGGTTTGCTTATTCTTTCCGGTCAAACATCTGTCGTCCTTGTCTCTCCTCCTTCATTCAAATAGAATTTGTTGGAGTCAGGTTACTGTTTGGGTCAGGTATTAGGTTACCAGTACATGGGGGGTGCAGCTAGGGGTGGAGAGTGTGGGTGGTGGGCGGGTGCTCTGGTGTGGTTTCCTTCTTCTTTCCTATCAAACATCTATCGTCCTTATCTCCTCTCCTTCTTTTTTATGTTTGTTGCTCTCTTGTAACACCTCTAATCTTCAGCACTTATATGACCTTATTGTGTTGCAAGTGCCGTAAAATACTAAAACAAAGCAATATCATATCTTGTGCTGTCTATTTAAAAAAAAATTATATCTGAGCTTGTCTAATGTTCTCCTTTCTTTTCTTATACTATATGTGTTGTTATGCCATTATATCTTTTGCTGTCTGTCTTTCATTATCCTTTCTGACCTTATCTTATCTTCTGTTATCTTACCTTATCTTATACTATATGTATTGTTATGTTATCATATCATACGCTATTTATGTGATGTTTTTTTTCTTATCTTATATGATATTATTTTTTCTTATTTTATGCTATTTATGTGTTGTTATATTATCTTATGTTATTTATGTGTTGTTATATTACAGAATCTTATGTTATTTATGTGTTGTTATATTACAGAATCTTATGTTATTCATGTGTTGTTATTTTTTCTTATCTTATGCTATTTTATGTGTTGTTATATTATTTTATGTTATTAATGTGTTGTTATTTTTTGTTTTTTTATGTTATTTATGTTATGTTATATTATCTTATGTTATTTATGTGTTGTTATATTATCTTATGTTATTTATGTGATGTTATTTTTTCTTTTCTTGTGTGCTATTTTCTCTTATTTTATGCTATTTATGTGTTATGTTATCTTATGCTTCTATCTTTCATTATGCTATGCCATCATATCTTATATGATGTCTATCTTTCATTATGCTATGCCATCGTATCTTATATGATGTCTATCTTTCATCATTATTTTGTCTAACCAAATCTTCC